CATCCAACCCAGCCTGTCCCTCACGCACCTCTTCCAATTGGACAGCCCAAATTTTGGTCAAAATTTTCACCCCAAAAGTCAATAAAATATAATTGGTGCAATTGGAGAGGTTGCATTATTGACGGGCCGTGCTAACAAGGTTTACCGGGGTAGGAACCGTCAATCTTGGGATTCGAGGGAATGCTAATTGAGTTGGTGTCACAATCTTACACCAAAGTAATGGTGTAAGATTACCTCCTCATAAAAGCATGATATTTTGAAATTATATTTCAAAATGACTTTAACCCCTTTAAATCTACATTATAACCTTCTTTAGCAACAAAATTCTGTGAATTATGATCATGAAAAGTGAAGCAGTCAAACTACATTGGCACAACAGGAGTATGATTTATCTAGCTCAAATCACTTTAATGTTCAAACTTTACAACTTCACATAGAAATTGATGGTGAATGAGAAAGAAACGATTCACTCATACTGTGAAAACCGCATACCTGATTAAACTCGAGAACGTCCGACTTGAACCGCACGTGGTCCCCCTTATCACAGCGAATATTCTCGGATACGTCGGGGATGATCGCACCTCCGCCGGGCACGACAAGGTCCCGCCGGTTCGTCTCGTCGAGAATAACCAATCTTCCTCCGGCGGGGCACCTCTTAACGAACTTCAACCGGAAGTCACTGGCGAAATCGAAGCCGCAGCCAAGGGCCTCCATCGCCCTGACGGCCGTCGGTTTCCTCGCGCCGTCAGTGGCTGCCGAGTGGAGCTCGTACATGGCGCCGACCTCACTGATCGATGGGAAGCCAGAAAAGAAGTCCCGCAGAGACGATCGGAGTAGGAAATGGAAGGTAGAGAGGAGTTTCTGGATTTGGACTGGAGAGGGGAAGGTAAGCTGTCTTGTGTTGATTTCAGTGGATTGCAAAATTGACAAAGTGAAGAGAGAGAGGTACGCTAACAACATTTGACCTTTGACCGGATGAACTTTCCCTCAGGATTGGACTGGTCGTCGAACACGGGTAAATGGATCAGATCAACCATTTAATTTTTTGAAAATTTGGTTTTGTTTTATCTAGTGATTTAATTTTAATTGTAATTGTTTTTAAAATTGTTTTTATCTAGTTTGATTTGACTTGATGTAATCTAATTTAATTTTAATACGAATAAATAATAAACTGAAAAATAAATTGAACAGATTAGAAAATGGAATAAAACGGTTGAACCGAATCAACGACTTGATCAACGTTTCAATTGATGCTAGTAAGAGCATCTCCAATCATCTTACTTTGGCTTGCTAAAAGCCATAATATAGCAAGTCAACACATTTTTCTCTTTTCTAATGGGCGTGTCAAATTTTAGTTAACTTGCAAAAAATAACTTTGGCTTGATAAATAGAACAAGCTCTCCTAATTATAGGGAGTCAAGAGTTATTAAATGAATTAACAAGTCATGATTGGAGAATTGAACAAAATATCGCTTGCTATGTCACTATTCACTTGTTAAAATAGAAAAATAGCAAAACAAGGTTGGAGATACTCTAAGTATAGTCATATACGAAGTACTACTTTGGGTATTTAATACTCCCTCCGTCCCAAAAAGAATTATTTCTTTACTATTACGATCTCTCGATAACTCATATTTGTTGCGTGTTTTCATTGATCATTTGAAAAAATAAAATATTTTTATTACATCTTATTTTGTAGAGTTTTTGATGTAGTTTTAAATATAAATTTTTTGTTTTGTATTTCTTTACCAATTTATAAATAAAAAAAATTAAAAGTCAATGAGTTTTGCACGTTGATCAAAGTAGGTAATTCTTTCTGGGATGGATGGAGTATATTTCATACATATAATATGTTGATTAAAATTAGAAAATATAGAATAAAAGAAAATTTCTAACATATTAAATTATGAGCAAATTCTATAAATAGTTTTTTATATTATGAAGTTTTTTATAATATATTATCTTTGCAGTCCTTTATTATTGGATATTTTTCCATAAATAGACCTCCGTCTAACATTCCATTCCTCTGACATTAAGCTGATGATACAAATATAATTTCACAAAAATTGTTGCTCTAGTAGAGAGATTTGAGGAGGGCAGCAAGTGAAGGGACTTTGTTGGAGAGAAATTGTCCTTGGAGCTCAAACACATTGAAGTGATACCGCCGCCCCTCGAGAATCCGTTCTTCCACCACACTACCTAGGTTCCGTCGCCGCACCACCCGCTTCGTGACCCCACATACCTTCTAGGCTCGCCACCGACAAACACACCACCACTCCCCACTGGTAAAATAAGAAATTTGTACTATATATGTAAATATTACTCCCCTTGTCCCTAAATGATCGTCCCTTTTCAAAGGACGTGCTAAATTTTATCTCTTTTAAAATGAATTTATTTACAAATTGGTATAGAAATATAAAGAAAAATTTACATATTTAATACGAATATAATACATAAAAAATTCTACATAATAAGCAGTGACATGTTTGTTCTATTTTATTAAATAATTAATGAAAATGCATACGCAAACAAAAGTTATCGAGATTCTTAAATATCAAAATTCCTAAATAATAACAAAACCCCTATACCTTGTTTTTTTAAGATGATAATTTTAGATAAACAATATGTACTTCCTCCGTCCCTGAGTATTTGTCCACTTTTGACTTTTTTGGTCAAAATTGGTAACCTCATATTAAATAAGAAAGATATTACATACTAATACAGAAATAATTTTATTGTATTTATTATATCAATTTTTAAAATATTATTTTATATAATTAATATACAATATACGGAGTATATTTCATTTAATTATAGGTCAAAAGTTAAAAACAGTTGACTGAAAAAAATCAAAAATAGACAAATACTCATAGACGGAGGTAGCATCCATTTTTTCATAAAAAATAATCAATGAGCATTTTTGTTTGGACTATATAAATTTGTAAAATAGCTACGTAATACAAACATGACTTTAATTCTATGAATATGGCCATAATCCTTCAATTCCTTCTAAGCATTAACCCCAAGCTCCAATTCTATACTTTATTTTTCAAGTGTGTTCAAAGGCTTTGTTTTTCATTATTTATATTTTGACTTTTAGGTCTTGCTTTTTTCTTAATTTTATAAACACACATTGAGCTTGTGTTATTTTAGAGAGTATAATCTCCAATCCGTTCTTCACAGGTCAATGATGTATCTTTTTCTTTATCATAGGTCAAAAGGGTGTTGAACATTTTTCTGTGTTTTTAGACACATCTTTCACTCATTGTAATGGTCAAGTATAGCAAAAAAAAAAAAATCCTTGTGTAAACGGTTAATGATAGCCAAGATATCCTTGGGTAAAAGGTTCAAGGATAACCCTTCAAATCCTTGGAGAAAAAATGGAAGAAGATAACCTTCAAATCTTTGTTGTAAATGATACGAGATAGCCGTTGTGAAATCTCTGTTGAATCCTATTGGCAAGGGTTGTTGCCAAATCTAGTACGGTGCTTTGATAGAGTTCAAGAGATCGACACTTAATTGATTCGGAAATCCATAAGGAGGAGCCTTAAGGTATGAGAATAGGAAGTTCTCGAACTAGTATAAATCGGTGTATCTTTATTTTACGTTTTAAACTCTGTTTTATCAATTATTGCTTCCGTTCTTTCTAATCACTGACTTTATTAGACTTTATTAAACTCCAAATAGTTTTTAAACGCCTTACTCACTTCTCCCTCTCAGGCATGGGCACATCGACTAACAACTTTAAGTTTGCAAAACAAAAACACATTGGAGACCATTTGAAATCACAAATTCAAAGTCAAAATTGATTTCGAATTAATTGGGGCACTTTGATATTTCCCTCCGTCAAAAAATTCTTTCTTGGTTTAACTTGACATGAAAATTAAGGAAAGTCAAAAAAAATAAAAAATTTGTATGTATTGTCCTTGATGTAATGGAAAAAAAGTGAATAATATAAATAAAAAGTATGGATATAATGTCACATTTATTAATTGTTTTTTGGTAGAATAAGAACAGGAAGAAATTTTTAAACGATCCAAAATGAAAAGTGAGAAAAAGATTAAAGAGGGAGGAAATACAATTTAAAGGCGCTACTCTAGAAAAGTCAAAATTGATCTGAATTAATCGATATACTCCGTATGTTCTTTTCTTGAGATTGTCTCTATTTTTTAAGAAGGTTTTTTAATTTCATTATAAAATAAAGAATTTATGGCCTACATTTTTTTTCTCTTTCATTCAATCAAATTTAAACTATATTTTTTTAATACGGAGTATTTGTTTAAACCACGTAAAGTCAAACTATCTAACTGAAATTTTAACGAGTTGAGTACGATCAAACTTTAACAATTTTCATTATCTATTTTTGATACTTGATTATTTGATAAAATAATATAGTCATGTCAGCACTTATTTTATATACTCTCTCCGTCCCACTCTCTTTGTCCACTTACGTTTTGGCACACCATCCAATGCACTTCTTTAATCCATTTTATCTTATAATTTGTATATTAAAAAATTATAGAAATTATATATTAATAATTTATATGTTAAGACAAATCAAACAAGATTACACATGATTATATTTAGGCTTACACATTGAGAGAATTTGATGAGTCAAAGTGCTTAGATGAACAGTTCCAAAAGTCAAAAGTGGACAAAGAGAGTGGGACGGAGGTAGTAATTTTTAAATATACAAGTTTTATTTTTAAATATTTCACCAAGTTACATATAAAATGAATTGAGAAATAAATTTAATCTAATCAAATTTTGTGAGGGTTGTTCAAACCAACAATTCACATTTTGTTAGTGTTAGATGGGCGGGCCAGGTCAAATGACCACACTTGGAGCACGCACATGCATGCACGTTGCGAGGCAGCTACGACACGTGTTCGTTCATGCAAGCGTCTGCGGCATACGACGCCGTTTTCTCGCCTCCCCCAAGTATCTAACTATCTAGTCTAGTCTATAGATAATGTATACTTACTGTATAGTCTGCAATATATAATCACATTTGTATAGGACCCGAAAAATTAATTACGAGTAATTAGTACGAGTAAAATGGAAGTTCCCGGCGAAGGAACCCACAGCGGCACCGCCATCCTGGAAACCGCCACCGCCGCCGTCCAGAGCTTCGCCCCTATTAACAAGATCCACCACCACCTCTGCGCGTCAGTACTCTTCCGATCCCTCCCTAATTGGGGACTTTCCTTTTTCAATATTTCCCTTATAAAAATGCAGAATTTATTAACACAAAGAATATTTGAAGTGTATAATACTCCGTACTATGTAGAGAGTTAAAAAAAACTGATTAATAATGCGTAGTAATAATATTAAAAGAACGACCTTTGATAAATTTGTGTGCTTTTAGTATTTCCGATATTATTGTGAGGTTGAATGTTCATAACAAACTGGCATCGGAGGCAAGGTTTTTCAACACGAACGCAAATTGTGATATTGAAGTCCCTGGATTTTTTTTCAAGATCGAGAAGAACGCAAATTGGCCGTTGCGTGTTGTTCCTCTACCAGAAGTCTGAAGGCGAGCATGGAGGTACTAGGGGAAACAAAGGATGTCGCTTTGTGGATCATGTTAGAAAGTTTTTACATGACAAAGATCGAGTCTTACTAGCATGCTGATTCTAAAGCAACAATTGTACACCCTACAGTTGACGGAAGGAACGATCCTCAAAGACCAATGCGTACCTTGACAAATTGAACACGATTTTGCTCAATCTGTACAATATGGAAGAAAAGGTGAATGATGAGGATGTACGTTACAGTTCTCATATTAATCTCGTTGCAACCTTCAGACAAGAACTCTTTATACTTTATCCTTTATAAGGACAGTATATCTCTAGAAGAAGTGTGATCAACTCTGCTCTTACACTCCAATTCGCATAACCCTAATACTTGGATTAGCGAACTCGTGGCTACAATCCTATGAGCGGATGCTTACAACCAGGGTGGGGTGGGGTGTTACAAATGATATTAGAGCAACCATAGGATCGTGATGGGCCAATGAGCCTAGTTCACCTAACGAGGAAGATCTAGGGGTTTCAAAAAAAGGTTGAAACTAGGAAGTTTCATTCATAATTGGGGGTGAACGTAATACCCTGAATTTGAAAATAAATAGATTTGGAAAAGAAAAGGCTCAAAAGGATTGATAGTACTACTCGTATCAACAAGGTGCATCTTATTTTAGAAATATCATCACCTAGAAACTCTAAAAATAGACGTACTTGACTTGGAGCAATTTTAAGATGGGTGACCCCCCTGAAAAGTTCCTTGGGCGCTCACAAGTGAGAACAAACAGTGGGGAAAGACTTGTGTTCATTTGTGGGGTCAGTCCACAATCATATGAGCCAAAGCTTACAACCAACATGGGAGACATGTAGAGCCTAATCTCTGAGGTAGTGGTGCAAGAGGTTCGATATCTTAATCCTGAAATTAGCCTATCAGAAGTGTGAGTATATGATTCTTGCATGTATCATAGGAAGTTGCATGAATGATCACATATTTCCCTAATTCTATATGTGGATGATATTCTTTGCAACTCAAAATATCAAGTACATTAGAGAATTGAAGAGGTCGCTCAGCATGGTTTTTGAGATGAATGATTTGGGGGCTGCTTAGAAAATTCCTCCTAACCCTGCGATAAACTCTCCAATCCAGATTGGCCTTAATGCAGCTCTGAAAATTGCACCTCAAAAAAAATTTCGAGTTTGGGGTAAAATATTTGACCCTAAAGTATCGTAGACAAAATTTAGGGACTAGAATTAATGGTGGTGCGAGATTGTGTTAGGTTTGAGTCAGATTAGGGATACGAACCATCATTTTTTATCGAAACATCGTAGGAGTGTGCACAATTCAGTAAATTGTCTAACTAAATCGAAACAAATAGTAATTAAGTTTTTTTAAGAGATTGGGGTTTGGTTCGGTTTCGCAAAATGAAATCAGTGTTTTGATATATAACGAATCTTGAATTCGTGTTAACCTTAACAATATAATTCTACCAAACCTAACTTAAATACGCTAATTTTATCGATCCGAGTCCACTAACCCCAGGGATTTACATTTGGACTTTGAAGGCTACATGAGCGGGTAGTGGGGCTTCTCAAATTATTGATTTCTATGGGCCCATTTAGTGAGATAAAAAGATATCAGATTTTATATCCCTAATATCAAATTTCTAAAATTAGTGTTTTAAAACCTAATAGATAGGTTGGACTTAAAAATCGGGAGATATGAGAACACCCAAAATATACCGTGTCTTGAAATAGGCTCTCATCTACCAATAGCACACACTAAAATCAGTTAAAATCAACTGCATCCATCACTTCCCTGATGTATGCATGTCATCTTTTTCCTTTAGTTCAAAATCCCTCACGTATTGCAATCACCCTTCCTCGCTTTTAGTGTTTTGACTTTTCTTTAATTTATTTATCATTTATCTCCTCCTTCACTTCGTTTATTTCAATTTATTATGTTCTCCAAACCAAGATTTAAAAATCCATATCATTTCTTCTCAATTTCAAAACTCTTATCTTATCAATTTTCTAAAACTCACGAAATACGCCGTAATATTCTCTCATTTCTTGCGAACACTAGCAATGACTTAGTGGGGCACGAACCTCGCCTCTTCGCCAGACACAAGCAGCAATGCTGCACATCAGTAAGAGAAGATGTTTGAAGCTTCTTTCCCATTTCTTAGCTATTTATGACTTTTTTTCTATTTTTGTCTAAGTGTTCATATATAGAAGGTCTCTTTCTAATGTTTTGTCTTTGGATTATTTTTATTTTATTAAATGGATAAAATGGTGTTTTTTATGTTGAATTGTGAGAGTGTAAAGGACTAATATCATTCCAACTTTTTTTTGTTATGTTTTGTTTTTCGCAAAACCAATTTGCCAAACCATTTTTTGCTTTTATTAAACCAAACAAGTTGTGTACGATTCAATATTTGGTATCAATTGTTTTACCAAAATTTTGATTTTGTTCAGTTTGATTTTACCAAGTCAACACCTTTAGAGCATTGTGCGTGCCACAATTGAATTAATCTCATAATACGACATTGAAACTCAACGTTAAAAGATCTTTGTCAAGACAAAATTTGATACCATTACATAAAAAACTTACATGCTACGGTGGTGTATGTGTTCAGATTTCATTTTTACGGCGATGACATGACTCGACAAGTGGAGGCACACCACTTCTGCAGCCACCAAAACGAGGAATTTCGACAATGTTTGATCTACGATAGCCCAGACGCAGGCGCACGCCTCATAGGGGTGGAATACATGGTCTCAGAGGAGCTCTTTTTGACACTCCCCGATGACGAGAAGCCGTTGTGGCATTCACACGAGTACGAGGTGAAGAGCGGTGTGTTGTTCATGCCCGGCGTTCCCGGGCCATTTGAGCGTAAGGAAATGGAGAAGGTGTGCAAAACTTATGGTAAGACCTTCCACTTTTGGCAAGTGGATCGGGGCGATAATCTCCCCCTTGGAACCCCTCAGATCATGATGTCACTTACTCGAGATGGTCAGCTCTATGATAACCTTGCTCAAGGTAATTAATTCTTTTTTCATTTCCCAAATTTAATTATTTCAGTTTTTACATCATAGATTTTATTCTATTATAGCATAGATAAATTTATAATCTTTGGGATATCTATATTAAAACTTCATAGAGTAAATTTTATATTTGGTTCTTTATAACAAGAATTCACCATATTTAGTCCTCTATTATCAAATATAATGTATGTAGTTCTTTTTTTAGTACCTTTTCATACATAATCATTTTTCGACTTCTGTCATACTGATGTTAAATTGAGAGCTAAAAGTGTAAATTCATATAGACTCATGTCGGCTTGACATGCAACACAATAATAATGACTATGTCTATGGACTAAGACTCCGGCTAGATACGATATCTGTAGACTATGTTGTGGTAGACAGCGATTCAAGTAGACAAATGATATATCAGTAGTGACTAACCTCTATATTATTTTACGAAATGAGTAGTAAAAATAAGCAACAAAAATGAGTTAAGTTTGACTTGTGAATAGTATCTGAGAAGATCTATAGAGGACGAAGGGAGTATGTTTCAGTGTAAAACTTGAATCTGTTTTGGAGAAAGATGACGGACACTAATAAACATTAGTATCATATAATGGTGCAGATGTTGAGAAGCGTTTCAATGTTTCATTTGCAAAGGAGAGGGAAAAGAGAGCGTACATGACCGGCCCCGAAAATGGGATACACCCGTTAGCTAATGGAGCGGGCAAAGGGATTCGAACAGTGCTTCGAGAGGTGGACAGCAAGCCCGTAGCCAACAGCGTTCCAAGAGTCTTTGTTTAACTCAAACTAAACTTCACCTTCCTATACATAACATGATTAAGGTAATGAAGAATAAAGATATGGGCTTTATGTATTATCTTTCATGTGGTATTTTGTATTAATGGATGTTAAATTAATGTTGTAATAAAGTGTGAGTGTGTACTCAAAAGAATAAGGTATGATGAGTTTGATAGAAGGATTCTCACACCTTGATATCTTAATATCTATCTATGGACTATTTTATAAACAAACTAGTTTTAGCTTTGTGTTTTGAATGAATCTCTAGGAAGTCTTAATTTTAATTTCATGTTGCGGTTTAAAACTTTTGACTAAAAGTATTTTTAATTTTATTTATTTGAAACTAGTGTTGAATTAAAAAAGAATAATTTATGGTTTTAAAATTATGTTAAAAGTGGTATGAAACTAGATGTGACATGATTAAATTATTTTATTAAATGTGTAACGGAAATAGATTTTTAAAAATGGATATAGTTTGCTTTCCAACAATTAGTGTAAATAGGGACGGATGGTGTATATATATATATATATATATATTTGTAAATCAAATAAAAAATTTGTATGTAGTAGAAAGTCAATTTCACATTTGGGATATTATAAAGATAAAAACTTAAGATTCTTATCTATGGTAGTACAAACTAATATGAAAAAATGAATTCTCAAAATGGACCTTATTCTTAAATTAGTTTTCAATAAGTAATAATTACTTGTTTGATTCTTTAAAATTTAATTTTATTATAAAAATAGTCTTTTTGTAAAAAATGTCTACTAAATGTCAGTTAAATATAAGATATTTTGGTATTTTATATCATGTTTACTTAAAATATGTTCTCAAAATGCTTCTTTATGGTTATATTTTTTTTTCCAAAATGATAATTACCAAGTATTTTCCGAAATGCATTCCATGAGCCAATCGAGGGTGGGTCCATTCTTGTAGTTGTCACCCACTTAATTATATTTGAAAAGATCAAACTTTGAGGGCTTTTTGATAATTTAGATGATAAAAAATATCAATATATCCTCCACTTAATTTTCATTTAATAAGCATTTTAACAAAGAATTATTTAGGGTATACATCTCAATTACAAAGGACTATGTTAATAATTATTACTTATTGATGACTAATTGAGAAAACATTTTATTAGAAAGGATCCTTTTAAAAATTATCTCAATATGAAAACGAAACATTTTCTCATTTTCTTTTAGAAAAGAAGACCTACACAGGCCTTGTTTGAAAAAGTTTTTTCGATTAGCATTTTTCAATACGTTTTTTACACAATATCATACAAATAAAATTAAAAAATTGAAAAACTAATCTTTTTCAAAATGCAAAAATTAAACATTAAAGTTATTCCTTAACAAAGAGGTAATAGAAAACATTTTTCTTCCTATCAAACAAAGTTCATTCGTATACTCATTATATTTTATATTTTTGAACACTTTTATTGAAAGAAGAGCAATAATAACAATGTTTATTCATATACTCATTATATGGGCCATTAAACTTCTTAACACTTAATGATAGAGCAATATTAGCAATAGAATGGTCTAGTGATAAGTACATAGATCTTTGAATAGCCAAAGCCAATTACAGAGTGATAATCAAAAGGGATGTTTGGTGCCCTTTTTTTGCTTATTACCTGACAAGGCCCAAGTTAAGAATGCCCCATGCATTTTTGGGCCAGGACCTCTCTTGGGCCTTCATGAGCAGAACTCTGCCCCAAGAAACCCAACCTTCCCAAGACATTCTCTTATCCCATGGAGAGGCCCATTTCAGTATAAGGCCCAACCCTTTATCTGCCTCTCTTGCGGCCTCTTCGAACCTCCCCAAGCTCAAACAAATCTGGCCCAAAACTAAGTGGGCCTCCCCCACAAAAGGGTTCTTCTGGATGCTCTTCCTCAGCCTGTCCTCGGCCCATTCCAACCCCTTCTTCGGCCCTTCGCACACTGCTTCCCAGTACAGATCCCGTGACAGTATCTGATCGCCGGCGTCGAGAATTTCAGTGCAGAAATTGAACACCGGCGGGATCACAAGCTCAATCTGCTCGTCTCTCTCCGGTTCGAGTAATTTTCCGGTTTCCCTTCTCCTCTGTTCGATGTAGATCTCTTCTTCCCGGACGATTAGGTTGTAGATTGCGCCCATTCGAGATACTGAATTCACCCAGAGGCCGGGTTTCCCGTCGCCGGGCCATATTCCGGATAGGGCATCGTTGCCGGAGAATTCGAGCCGGCCGTCAAGGTTCTCGAATAGAACGTCCTGGAACCCGAACAGCTGGTCGCTGAAATCCGCCATGGTCATCAGCAGGAAAATCGCGACGATTCTTCTCGAAACGGCGACGTTTTCGCCCGTCTTGATGTGCTTGGCCACGATCCCGTCCGCCGGCAAGACCGATTGCAGTTTCCTCCTCCACGCCTCGCCGCCGTCGAACTCCCCCTTCTCCTTTGCGTTCCTCGCGGAGGCCTCGGAAGCCCTAAGGTGGTCCACGATTTCCGAGTCGGAGTATTTGAAAAGGAGATCCTCGTGGATCAGGGGCTGACGGGGGACGACGCAGAAGAGATGGATGAGCCGCTCTGCCTCGTCTCCGACGTGGCGGCGGACGGTGTCGCGGCCGGTGGAAGGGTCGAAGATGGCGAGATTGACGTAAGAGTTGGAGTAGGCGGAGTGGAAGAGGCCGCAGAGGCAGACCGGATCTGGAGCCTTCCATAGCTTGAGTATCCGGTAGACGTCCACCAGATGTGAGAGGAAACTGCCGTGTTTGTGCCAGCACTCCCCGGCCCCGACGGATCGGAGAACGGCAACCAGGGAGGGTAGCTTCTTATCGACTTTCTCCAGCTCGCCTCGGAGGAAAGGGCGGGCGGCGCTGAGCACGGTGGCAAGGTAATCGCCGTTCTCCGACGATGGAGAGCGCGACGACGACATGTTCGGCTAAGATAAAATCGGCAACTTGCTGCAAATCAGGGGAGTGAGATAAATCACGAAAATGCGGATTATAAAAGTGCATTTATCAATGTGAAGAAGAGGAGATACAAATGATTACGAACTATTTGGATATTATCCATTTGGTTCATGCTACACTTACACCACAAATTATACCCCATTTGTACACCACAGTTATACACAAACATTTTGATGATTTACACCGATACAAGTATTTGTGCGTTAACAAAAATTTACACGGACACGAAGTGTCGGTGCATTAACAAAAATTAGTTTTACACCAACACAAAGTGTTGGTGCAAATCTGCGGGGTACAAAGTGGGGTATAAAAGTTGGGGTACAACTAACTTTATCATATCCATTTGTCCCATTTGCGATTAGACTCTTAGCTCTGGCCCCCAATCGATTTGACTTGACGGCGAAATTACCTTCCCCAGCCACTAAAAAACAGTGGAACGCCCTTCCGGATGCCCTACATTGCCGAATGATTGTGAAAGTTACAATTTTAATCTGGTCTTTAGAGTGGTTGTCTCGAGTTCGATGGCATAATATGCTATTACAAATAATAGAATTCCTACGCTGCCAGAATTTGACCCTAAGATCAATAGGTTTGACATCTCTTCCTTGAACCAGTTGAGCTACCCATGCGGGTCACCAACCAACTAAGATCCGACAGGAGGGGTGTGTGCATGGAGGTTGTTCCCAAAGTATGAAAAAAAAATAGAACGCCCACCTTGGGCACCCCACACCCCGACCCGACAAGATTGTGAGGTTGGTAAATTATGGTATAATTTTAATATGGTCCTTAGAGAGGTCGTCTTATGCCCGATGCGCACAAGAAACTATTACAAATAATAAAACTTTCACAATGCCGCTGTCGGAATTCGACATTAGTACCAATATGCCTGATCTCCTCTCCTTGGACCAATTGAGCTACTCAAGCAAGCATTCCCGAAGCACTGAAGAAGAGAAAGGGAGAGAAGAATAGATAGATGTGGAAGAAGAAGCAATCGGGGTAATGGGGGTCTGCCCAACGAAGATGTCGAACGTCGATCGGAAGGGGCAGTGTTCTTCATTGGCACTAATGCCAAATCGTATGTGGATCGGATGCCTTCCCAATTATCACACCCAATAGCATTAGAGTAATGCTTGAGTCACAATTACTAGAGTTACAAAAAAACTAATCCGTAGATTGACTTAAGATGCATAGTGACCATTGTGGATCTTCAAATTTTAAAGATACTCTCTTTATTCAATATTAATGACACATTAATGAATGAATAAGAGAAATAAAATATGTCTATACTTATTTGTTTATTTATCTAATACATCAAGAAAGTCATAATAAATAGTTAATATATGGAATGGAGGGAGTAAGTATTTCTTAAGTAGATAAACATTTTTGTTAAATATATACAACATATTTAATATTATTGTATTATTATTTTTATCATATTTGTATAGGCTTTCTATTATATCTCTCTTACCTTATTTAGGATTGAAACTCTTAGTGACTTAGTGTATAAATATATATACATGTACTCTTTACACAATTTAATTAATGATAATAATTATTCTTAATGGTATCGGAGCCTAACCAAAAACCCCAAGTCTTCTTTTCTTGTTTTCGGCCCTTCCTCTCGTCGAAATCTCCGCAGATCGGCCGCCGGTCCTCTTAGTTTTCCCTCTCCTTTGCCGACCGGCGCACCATCATTTCTCCCTCAAGATGATCGACAGTGAGGTCACGGCTCAACCCTCCTTCTCAAAATCTCCTCACCTTGCTTTTACCACCATCTCTAATATCAAAGTACTCAATTTCTCTCAACCAAATTACAAAAAATGGAGTCCTCTGTTTCCCCTCCTTGTTCGACGCTTCAATATCCACGGTCATCACAGGCTCTATCATCCCCACCTCTAATGGCGACGACGAATGTATCTAACTTGATATTCTTCTTCAAGGATGAATTCTCTCTACCACTGATGATGTCTCTCATCTGGTAATCTCCTCTATCTCCACTGCTTCTGCTCTCTAGAAGGTCATTCATGACCTATTTCATGACAACAAACATGCCCGGTCCATGCAATTAGAACATGAATTCCGCACCACTATCAAGGGCAATACCCCAATGGCGACT